GACATTTTTCTACTTTATAAGTTAAAACAAAATGTATACTTCAGTACAAAAATTATCTTTTTCATTGTGGGCATATTTAGAAAAATTTAATGTTATCTTTTTTGTATATGATACACAATGGGTTACCTGTGCTGTATCAAAACCCAGGTTTTGTGTTAAAATCCTTCAATACTTTTTGCCAAGCCACTGCAGGGGGAGCTTTTTATTCTTCATTGAGAAAATCTACTTAACAAAGCATTTTGGCTATTTGTGTATTTTAAAATAAACAGTAATTTTTTCCATGATCATAGGTGATAAACTGTGTATTTTGATTGAATATTTTAAGTAATAAATAAAATTTCTTACATCTTTTTAGTGTGTGCAACTATGTATGTGTACATAATGGCAATTTCATCTCTTGTACAGTAGAAGCTTTTGCGTAACGGAACTATTAACAGAAATTTGACTATTTTAAATTAATGTGAATACAAGTATTCATATTCTATCATTTAATTCCTAGGTTTCAGAATAATGTTATATCATATTCAATTAATTTTTGGAAGTTACAAATAAACTGAGTTGCTTCATTCACTTCTATTATCATTAGAATAGCATGGTGTCAAAAGCTTATTTCAAAGGAATCTGAAATGCATCTAAGAAAAGACCAATAGTCCCTTGATGTCCTTATGTTAAATACAAAATGATAGCTTGCACAAATTACTTAATATAAAAACCAATTAACTTAGAATATTTTAATGAAGTACACAAAAACTATACTGGTTCAATACATCAGCAAAATCATCAGTATAGTAAATAACATATTTGTATAAAAGTAATGTTAGAAATGGCCAGTCAAAAAAATAATTACACTATATATATATATATATATATACATATATATATGTGTGTGTGTGTGTGTGTGTGTGTGTGTTCACATGTGTATATATATAGCTTGTATCTGGTTTTTGAGTCAATATGTGCCATGTAAAACTACTACTCTTTCATTTCACAAGCATATTTACCTACATCTGATAAGCTTCATATTCTGCTCATACTAAAGACATGGTCATTAAACAAAATGGATTAATAACTAAATTTAAACAATGATAAATTGTGCAAACCCTTACGCATACACAACAAAATCCACACATGCACAGGTATCTATGTACACAGGTTTCCTATTCTCGATTAGAATCTCAAATATAAACATTATAGGTTCATTAAAAATGTTTGAGTAAATGATACAAATATACAGTATTTTTATCCCAGTAGCAGCACATGAACTCATTCAGTATCCATTTTTAATTGTAAAAATTCAAACTGCATTCTACATGTATAAATTATATTTTACAAGTATGACAAACACCTTTTCTACATTGCAAGTTTTCCCCTTTAAACACTGTATAAAAATTATTGCGAGCTACCATATAAAGTATTTTTAACCACTTATCTTTATTAATAAAATACAAAAATCTTCCACAAAAACAAATTTCAATGTTTAACCCTTTGTTTGCAGATTTGTAAATTCACCTACCATCCCACGTGCAAAGATTCACAAATTTTTGTGGCAAGCCATACAAAATGTTGTGCACAAAATGCTTGCATCATATGATGTCAACCCCAGTTGACGGATTAAAATGTTATTTAATAAGCAACTATTTCACATATATATATATATATATATATATATACACAAACACACCTGGCTACACAAGTTCGTGAAAATTACATGCAAAAATAAAGGGTGTTTAACTTCTCCTGCTGCAATTGATAATCAATTTGTACACATAATAGATCAATCTCTAAAATTTCAAATGTTTTTTATTCACATGTAGATACTATGGTTTACAATACATAGGTCAAACATTTAGTCCCTACATTTAAAGATAAATTTACAATGTTCAAAATATAATAAAGGTCTGCTGTATTCTGCTGAAATAGACCACTTTAATTTATATACTTTAGCAGATATAAAAATTACTATTCTTCAAAATGTAAACGATAACAATAAATTAAATGAAAGGAATGTATATTCTATCTTAAAAACTATCCATGTAGCCTTAACCAAGAATTCAAAAGTACAAATAAATATAACTTAAGTAAATCATATTGTATCAAACTTTTTTTTTCAAATCTATTCTTTAAATAAATGATAAAGAATTAGCGGTAAAGGTCTTAAAGATAATACTTGGATTAATTATAGATTTAATGTAATTTTTGAATAATTTAAAAAAAGAATAGTATAATTCCTTTATACAGGTAGAATTTTTATACTTAAACTATCTTGAATTAAAGCTTTTTCAAAATAGTTATTAAAAAATGTGTTCATCAATATAAATGTAAGAGATTTAATTGGCAATATTATAAAATCTAAATATAAATTTGATTCCTTAGTATCATCTATTAATACTCATAGTGCTTTTACTAGTAAGAACCTTATCTGACAATTGATTTTAAACAAAGTCTTAATAAATGATTTCTCATCACCTTCTTTTTAATTGACCAAGTGCAAGATTGAATATTTTTCTTATAAAAATTTACTTTCCAAAATAAATTATAAATACAACATGCCTATTTATTACTTTTTAATTGTAACACATTCATTAATTCTATAAATCTGATTTATTACCATGCTTTTGTACCAAGTGTAATTTATCTGCTTATTATTATCATCATCATATAATTACTGGTGATTTAAACATAGGGAAACATCAGGGTGCATTATCATTTCTCAATTAAGTTTGATGTTTTACCACACATGGAGGTAAAAAATAATGAGATTTTTGTTACAAATTTCAAAACAGCATATATAGAAGGGATGCAGCAAGAATTACCTATTGTGAATTTGAACCGAATGAACTGGAGATACTGAAAAATGTTTAAATATTCAAGATGGACATCTTCCTTATAGAAAAAAAAAAAGGTGGTTGCAAGTAAAAAACTAGGTTGATGCACAAAAAGTGTAAGAGATAAAATTAAAGAAAAGCATTATAAAGTTAAGAAATTTATATTAACTGTTTTAATGGAAGACTAACAGGATTACAGACAAATATGAGGGTTGACCATACAGAACATCATGCAACCAAAAATAGTATACATATAAATTAACAGTAAGGACTTGATTAAATACATAAAGGGTAGACAAAATGTTATGATGGGAGTACGTCCTTAGAGGGATGATAACAGAAGGCTCATTTGATGATTATGAGATGGCCTTGTTATTAAATTCTGCTTTTGCTTTACTTTTTACTGATGAAAATTTAAGCAATATTCCTCATCCTAAAAAGTTACTAAATGGAAACAAGATTCAACAAGACGATTACATTAATTATGAGCTTGTTATAAAAAATTGGGAAGTTTAAAGAATTATAAAGCTCCTAAATTAGATAATATTTTGCCAAGTTTTAAAAGAAGTTA